AGATGGCCCAATACGGTAGAGGAGATAGTATTCCTACAGATGGTAGTATATAAACAACTTCAAAGAAATACGCCTGCATCTGATAAATGCGGTAACGGCAACGTCTCCAACTTTGCTTACATGCAAATACTTACTGTGTGATGTAGCCAGTTACAGCTGTAGTCCTGGCCTCCCTACCAGGAAGTTGTGAAGCTGGAGGTTAGGGCAGCTGAAGCAGCCAAGGGCACAAGGTGAAAATCCTAGATTTAAAGTATAAGCACGTGCAGGAGAGGGGAGGGAGACATGCTTTCATCCACAAAGCTGACAGCGATTGCTACAACAGACAGTATTTACTACCTGCCTGAGCACTGCTAGGGATTTACATGGAATTCCCAGAATTAGGAATTCCTGAGCTAATGAAACCATAAAAATTAAGACAAAATGCTAGCGACAAATAAAGAAATTATATAGTGCAAAGTATCTTACAACAGTTCACTCACTTTTAACTTTTGTGTCAGGAGAGGGTTTCTTAAGCTGTACTGTGGACTCTGGTTCAGTTTTTTTCATCTGAATTGGATATCCACTTTTCTCCAACCAAGCCTTCAAGTTTTCAATGTACTCTCTTCCGAACAACGTTGAATCATCGAAGTTCGGGAACAGTGTTGGTGCTGGAGCCATCTCCTGGAGCCCTACGGCTTCAAGTATTTTCTCTTGCCTAAAAACAGATGCTAGCGCGAAGGTCTGACCCAGAAGCGCTAAAGACTTACGACAAAGAGAAACAGTGGTCTCAAAAGCACTTGCCATTTCTCTTGGATTACCAAACCCGCTCGTCTTTATGCTTAATTCGTAAGCATTGCAGGCCATAAGCAGCGGTGTAACACCTTTTAGGAGGCGGTCTTGTAGCCTCATTATGTATTTATCAAAAGGTTTTATTATTTCAAAGAAGCAGTTCTTTGTTTTCACAGCACCCTTGTCCAATAGCATATTTAAAAACTCATTGTCCACTTTGGGAGTTTTCAGAGCAGCGTGTTGTAAACTCTTGATAGTAAAGAAACAATAATCTCTGTGTTCTGGCTTTAAGGAGCATTTGAATGAAGCAAGCATTTTTGCACAGGTTTCTGTCTCTAGCTCAAAGAGAGCTCCAAAGAGCCGGGAAAATTCTGCATCATTTTTTATTGCATGAAACCCAGCCCATTTTATAATTTCTATTCCAAATGTTGAAAAAATGTCCGATTTGTCCACAAGGTCAAAATTGAGATTTCTGAAAACATGCGCAGGCTTTGGGAGCCTGAGAATAGGTCTCTGGGTTGTTATAGTTGGCCTCTGATTAGGTCGTGGAGGCAACTTTGGATTAGGGCGCTGGATGGTCACCGGCCTCTGGTTAGGTCGTTCAGCAGTTTCTGGCATTTGATCAGGCTGCATATTTGGCTTCTGATCAGGGCCCGGTTGCAGCTTTTCAGTGTTCCATTTCTTTAAGGGAGTTTTGATATCTCCTTTGAATACTTTAGTTTTAACAGCGCCCCTTGTAATACGCTTTCCTCGCAGAGCTCTTCCCCTGCCAATATTGCCCCTCCGTATTGGAGGTCGGAACTCGCTGTCAGATTGAATTCCAAAGTCCACATCATACTCCTGATTTTCCATGTTGCCATATTCATCTTCCATGAGTCCTGGAGATCTAAAATCACCTAAAATATCCGAAGAACTAAAGTCAGTTTCGTGTGGTCCGGTGGATTCCCAAGAGTCAGGAGGGCCGTAGTCCTGGTCGTGAGAAGCCAGGCCCCCATACTCCCGCTCATGGGAAGTTGGGCGTCCGTACTCCCGATTGTGAGATGCTGGGCGCCCATACTCCCGGTCATGCGAAGCTGGACGCCCATACTCCCGATCGTGCGAAGCTGGACGCCCATACTCCCGGTCACGAGATGCCGGGCGGCCAAATTCCCGGTCACGAGACGCCGGGCGGCCATACTGTTCATGGTAATAGTTATCTTTCCTTATGAGAGGACTAGTAGATCTATAAGAAGGTCCCGGATAGTCATCTCTAGGGTCTTCACTCCACTCATCATGTGGATGGTGCTGGGCATTGTCATGAGTATACCTTCCATCATCATGAAAACTATCTTCGTATCTTGGTCTTGGGACTGGCCTTGAATGAGCTGTAAGGATAAAACCACAAATACACCAATGCACCGCAAGTAGTATTAAGAAAAAAATTTAATAAACACATTTAGACACTTACAAGAGTCAACTTCTGAAGAACAGTACACAAATCTAACTTTAGGATATTCCCATTTGCTTTCTTACATACATCGAGTAACTCATAATAAGCAAAAAGCAACAAATGATTAACAATGCCTAAACACGCACGACAAAACAATTTATTAAAAATTCTACTCTCACTAAAGCTGAGACGCAAGTTCTGCTATAAACCCTATTTTCTACTTGCTCACAACTTTCTCGGTCTAGGAAGATGGCAATGTTGTGCTTATAATGCTTTTACTCAGATTTCTCAGATGTAAAAATATCAAAAGCATGCACTTTCTGTTTCCACACTGAATGTTGGAATTCCACAGTTGAACAGAAGATCATATTTTCTACAAACTCATACACAATTATCTAAGATAACATTAAAGCCAGAAATATTAGAATTCCCTGCAAAGTATCCAAGAATCCCTATCCCCTAATTCCAGTAGTTAAATTCAGAAAGTAAAGAATACTTGAACAAATTAAGTATTTAAAATAAATGATTTCTTTGGCGCTTATACAACTTTAAGAAAACAGAAGAGATCTCATTTTAAAACTCTCAAGTTCCTATGAATGTAATCCAAGTTATTTTTCTAGACATTTAAAATATCAAATTTAGAAGATAAAAGAATTTGCAGATCATGTTTTGTATACATTCACTAGATTAATGTCCCGCTTTTATCTTTTTCTCCAAAAATAGCATGAAATACGAGGACCCAAAGGCTTCAAATGCACTCCTACATTTATTTAACTTATCAGACATCAAGAGAATTCCATCCTGCAGCGATGTCTCCGGAGACCTCCCTGAAATTGGACCCACTCTCTGATGCAGCCTGAACAGAATTCCTTTGTTTGAAATTCAATTTTTTGCCTGGAATTTGCATTCCACATTGAAATAGCATCAGTCATACCAAGCTATTAACCTCTGAAATAAAAATGGATGTGGAAAAGCACCAGCACAAGTCCACGTTTCAGGCAAATACACATAAACGGAAGGCAAGAAATCTAACATAGCTGTTACCGGAATAGCTGGTATGATCCACGGCACGTCACGCCCGGGTTTCATTACCTTTAAAATGATGGATTGTGTCCTCTATAGTATCACTTCGGTCCATGCGATACCTTTTAACTTTGTCCTGCACCACAGCATCAAACGTCTCCCGTGTGATCCGCCGAGAGGCCATTTTTATCCTGTAGCAAAACAGCACAATGTCGTCCCTGACCGGGGCACGGACGCCGGGGAAGGTCCCCCCGCTGCCGAGCCGCTAAC